CCTTGCCTGGCCTAGCCTATTAACTCTGAATGTTAATTTTGACATCTGTCATGTCAGGCTATCCCATATAACTGTAATTCGCAAATGTGAAAAGCTTGTTTGTGTCAGCAGTATTTGAGAATGCAGACTCACACTAGACTGCCTGGGTTCAAATCCTTTTGGCTACTAGTTGTGTGGCATTAGGCAAATCATTTTACTTAATTGCTTTATATAGTCCATGGGGATAATAATGATTAGAAGGACTAAAGGAATTAAAAACATAAAGTGTTTAGAATAATGTCTGGCATTGGAGTAAGTTGTTAATATTATTTATTCCAGATTACTTACTGAGAAGTTTATGGCCAAATTAAAATTCATAAAGCAAACTCTAGAAGCATTTGGGCTAAGTTGTCAACAGTGGTACTTCAAGGGTGATGTAGAATTCATAGCTGGTGGAAATCTTCATCAGACTATATTGTCAACTTTTGTCTTCAATGTACTGACACCTGTTGTTTCTTCCAGTCTTATTTGAGGCTGTTCTATTTATTTCTATATTCTAACCTCATTTACTTTAAGTTCTTTGAAAGCACCAAGTTCTCTTATTCCTTGAGGCCATTGAACATATTGTTCTTTAATTGCAAGCTCCCTTGGTCAGCTTGTTGCAAAAGTGATTTCTACTTTTATCTGTTTATTCACTTAATTATTGAGTTTCTGCTGATCATGGTGTCACATGCTATAGTACCAGCAATTTGGGAGACTGAGGCAGGAAGGTCACAAGTTTGAGGCTACACTCAGCAATTTAATGAGAACTTTTCTCAAAATTAAGAAAAAACAAACCATAAAAAAGGGGCTGGGGATTTAGTGATTTGAGTGTCCCTGGGTTCAATCCCCAGTAAAAAAAAAAAAAAAAAAAAATCTTGAATTTTTATGATGCTGCTCATTCTTCTGTTATTAGGTTAAACCAAGGAATTGCAGGTTGTTTTATTACATTCAGGGAAAGAGATGAATGAATGATAGAAGAATTTCAACATCTTTATTTTTACCTATCTCTAATATCTTTTTTTGGTACTGGGGTTTGAACCCGTGGGTGTTCTACCACTTAGCTACACATGCCAACACGTTTTTAAGTTTTATTTTTTAAAGATTTTTTTCATTGTAGTTGGATACACAACTTTTATTTTTATTTATTTATTATTATGTGGTTCTGAGAATTGAACCCAGCATATGCTAGGCAAGTGGTCTACTGCTGAGCTATAACCCCAGCCCTTAAGGTTTTTTTTTAAAGAAAGGGTCTTGCTGAATTGTGCAGGTTGGTCTCAAACTTGTGTTCTTCCTGCCCCAAACTCACAAGTCACTGGGATTATAGGTGTATGTCAGCATGCCTGGCTTTCAATACCTTTTACAGTCAAGACACCTGGTATTCATTCTCTTTATTCTAGTCAGTGATTTTTCAAGCTTATTAACCCACCAAAAAGTTACATTGTGAGCCAGTATACACAATGAACTGTATGACACCAAAAGTTTCATAAATCATTATGTGAAATATTTTGACCCCCCCCCCCTCCTTTTTGGTAGTACTAGGGATTTAACTCAGGGGTGCTCTAACATGGAACTATATGCCCAGGTTTTTATTTTGCAACAGCGTAGGTTGCCCAAGCTGGGCTTGTACTTGCTGTCCTCCTGCTTCAACTTCTATAGTAGTGGGGATTACAGGTGCCACCCACCCAGCTACTTTGATGTTTCTATTCTGTTTCAGTGAAACAGAACAAAGTCGCTGGTTAAATTCTAATGGATTGAAACTGGATTAGTCTGTTTAAGAGGTTCTTCTTCAAGGTATCCCATGGCTTCAGTTTTTGGTTCTTTGTTCTTTCTTCATGCTTACTCTTTGTGACATTTCTGTTTTTTATTGTGCATGCTGAGCAAGTGCTCTGCCACTGAGCTATACCCCTGGCCATTGTTATTTAGGCTGTTCAAGTGATTTCAGAATCTACATCCCTCTTCCCATAAACTTGCAATTATTTGAGATGCAACAGGTGTAGTCCAACTCTTTTTTTAAAAATCATACTTCTAATTGGTCTTTTTTCACATATACATAAAATTAGAGTAATATTTGAGGCATTTCCATTGTGCTCCTCTTACTCCAGAATTCCTTCTGGCTTTATGCTTGATACATAAGCAGTGTCATATAGAATCCCAGTCTTTCAGTGCCTCTGTTCTCACTTTTCCCCAAATAATGTTTCTGCTCTTTCTTGATTCTTTTTTTTTTTTTTTTAATTTTTGTAGTTATAGATGGGCAGAATGCCTTTTTTAAAAAAATTTTATTTTGTATGTGGTGCTGAGGATTAAACCCAGTGCCTCATGCATACTAGGCAAGTGCTCTGCCACTGAGCTACAGCCTCAGCCCCTTTCTCAATTCTCTTTTATGTCTTTACTCATGCCAGTCAAAAACTAGGAGTGAGTAACCCTTCTAAATTGTTTTACATCTTAGAAAAGTGTTCCTTGACTTCCTATCAGTAGGATTTCCACATTAACTTCTGTTCACATTTGTAGCATATGCACTTAATCCATGTTTGTTTTAAACAAACTGAGGGTAGAGGTTATGTATTGTTTTCCCCAGAACATACGTATTGCTTCTGTGATAAACATAAGCTTTCAGCCTTCTTCAATAACCTAATTCCTACCTGGTTCTAGAGTGGCCTTCCTAATAACTGCAGTTTTACAATTAGATTTAGTGTAGATTATAGGTTGTGCCCTTCCTCCCTTTCTCTTCTAAGATCTGTTATTTAGGGAGGTATGCATGTAAATGTGGCTGCACAGTGATCCCCTGAAGGACTTGCTGGGCCCCACCCCCAGAGTTTCTGACTTCATAGGCATTAAGTAGGCCTGAGAATTTGCCTATTGAACAAGTTTTCAGATGATGATGCTGGTTCAGGGACCACACCTTGAGAATGACTATGCTAAATAATAGAAGCTTCTGTTGCTGTATCACGTTCTCTGTTCTTCAGGTAGGAAAGACATATGAGCTACTCAACTGCGACAAGCACAAGTCCATGTTGTTGAAGAATGGACGGGATCCTGGGGAAGTGAGACCAGACATAACCCACCAGGTAACTAAAGGGATAAAGCTCACAGCCTTTTCAACCTTTATATTGAATGTAAGGCAGCTGAACGATGTGTCTCTTTAGCCTTCACTGTGCCTTGGTTTCTGTCTTCCTCAGAGCTTATTGATGCTGATGGACAGTCCTCTAAATAGAGCTGGCTTGCTGCAGGTTTATATCCACACACAGAAGAATGTGCTGATTGAAGTGAACCCACAGACTCGAATTCCTAGAACCTTTGACCGCTTCTGTGGCCTAATGGGTGAGAAGCCTTTGGATTTAAGTTCAGAATGAAGTTGGCAGTAGTGAAGAAGGGAGGAAGAGGAAAAGGGAGAATGAAATGTGGCATTATTCAGTGAGGGAAGAGGGATGTGACTAATGCCAGGACAGGCTCGTGTTATTTTTCCACATTCATGGAAATTCTACTCTCCTGTTTTGTGTTTTTTCTTTTCTTTTTATATTCTTTTTTGAGTTGTAGATGGACACGGTACCTTTATTTTTTTATTTTTATGTGGTGCTAAGGATCGAACCCAGTGCCTGACACACTTTGGCTCTGCCACTGAGCCAAAACCCCAGCCCTACTTTCCTGTTTTTTGTAGTAGGTTCCTGGCTGAGCGAAAAAGGGAGATCTGAACCTCTCACTACCTACTGGTTGTATGCCTGACAGTCGTTTTTTTGTAACATTTTAAGAGTACAGTCTGGGGATATAAAGGGAACATAGAACTCGTCTTAGCTGTGGGTTTTTCTGGTTGTGTCACTGGTAGGAGTAAACCTAACTCTGAACTTTTTCCTCTTCTAGTTCAGCTTTTACACAAGCTCAGTGTACGAGCAGCTGATGGTCCCCAGAAGCTTTTGAAGGTGAGGTCTTAAACCTACTGTTTGGAGGTAGGGTTCTGGGACTGTTATTGGGGCTGATTTTTCTGTTTTTCTTTAGGTAATTAAGAATCCAGTGTCAGATCACTTCCCAGTTGGTTGTATGAAAATTGGCACTTCATTTTCTGTTCCAGTCATCAGTGATGTGCGACAACTGGTGCCTAGGAGTGACCCTATTGTTTTTGTGGTGGGGGCCTTTGCCCATGGCAAGGTAAGGTCTGGGCTTAACCCTTAGATTCTTCATAGAGTTGGAAGCTCAGTACAGAATTCCAAGAGCAAGCACTTAGCAAGTGTTCTGCCCATGCCAGTTCCCCAGCCTTGACAATCCTTGTCCTTATAAAATGAGAAATAGAGGGTAGCAACACATCTAGAAGACAAATGGTGGTTCCAATTCCTGCCTCAGTGTATCCTTTGAGGATTGCTGGCATATTTGTAACAGACAAAGCTAGCATCTTCTTCGTTCTTTTTAGAAGTCTGATATTAAACACACTGGTGAAATATTAGCTGAGCCATTTTTCCTGCCCTGAAGAAGGGCCGAACTTGCTATGGAGTGACTATTGACCAGATTCTTCTCTCCTAAGGTCAATGTGGAATATACAGAGAAGATGGTGTCCATGAGCAACTACCCTCTTTCTGCTGCCCTCACCTGTGCTAAACTTACCACAGCCTTTGAAGAAGTATGGGGGGTTATTTGACAGTAGCAGAACCTAGTTCTGAAACAAAGGACTATTGGCGTTGTGCCCCTCGACTCTGTTGACTGCTGCTGCACTGAAGACTGTGGAGTTTGGGGAAAACATTGCTGTATATTTGCTCTTCTTTATCCTATAAATACTGTTTTTTGCAAATCTTGTTATATCTACTTGGATGAACTGTTTGTTCCTCTTAGACTTCAGGGATACACGGAGTTTGTAGATTTGGTTGGTTGAAGGCTTTGAAGGCAGGCTTTAGTTCCTGTTTTCCCAGATTCCTGTACTGTTAAGGGAAAGAACCTGATGACTTCAGCCATGGCAAGTACAGAGAATTGTGTGTTTGAAAGAAAGCAGTCAGGAATGCTAGCAGTGAAAAACTGAACAAACAGAAGTGATTTTATCTGGTACAGTTCCAAGATAGAAAAAGTGGAGCAGGTGGGGCCTTGTGCCCTCCCTCCCCCCCATGGGGGGGGTGGGCGTAGCAGCACATATACAATCGTAGTAAATTGGCAGAAGAACACAACAGATTCCTGGCTAGAGAGGAGAGATAAGGCAACGTGCATGGGGGAGCCTGAGGGGGGTGCATCCCCTCTGCTCCTCCCACAAGAACTTCCCCTTTGGCCCATTGAAGACTTGGCGGGCAGCAGAGGCACAGCTGGGAGTGGCATGGCTTCCAGCTCCCTGGCTTTTCTGTTCACTGTGCTCTTGGGTGAGGGAGTGCTATGAAAAGGGAGACAAGTAGTTTCTGCACCAGTCCTGCTCTAGGCCACCTGCAAGGCAAGATGTGAATGGAAGGCTGGTCAGAGTGGCATGTCCAGGTCCTGGTCTGGGTCCTGCAGCTTCCACCTACATTCCTTAGTTAGAGTAGAGTATCAATACCCCATACTGTGTCCCTCTGCGCCAGACTACATTGAAATCCACCCCAAATTTCCAATACCAGCTTTTCCCCTAGTCTGTGGCTCCAGTCTACAACCTGGCAGTTTTATGTTAGGTGTAGAATATTTACTTACCAGGGAAATAGATTATTCCATTTTCTTTAACTTCTCTTTCCTTGGCACCATTGATTTGTGAATATAAGGCAATATGAATAGTAGGCTCAGGAAGAAGACATGACCAAGAAAATAGATGGATTTATATACCTGTGGGAAGAGAGAGATGAAGCATGCGGTGTCTTGAGGTGTGAGAGGTTTTAGTGAGTCTCCTGGTAACCATTTAGGTGGGCCTTAATTACCTTAAACCACTTGTCCCATGTGAAGAGGCAAAAGGCAGTCATTGAATAACCCAAGAAGAGCCAGTGGATTGTCTGTTGCACCAAGTAGAAGAAGGGCTGCAGGATAGTAATAGAAGCTAGGTTGCTCAAGGCTGGGCTGTCTCGAATTAGGTTGGCAGCCTGAGGAGGAAGGAGAGTAGTCATCAGTGTCTTGTCTCCTTCTGAATCCCCTTTCTACCCAGCACCCTTGAGGCCCACCTTCTTTTCCACAATAACAATGAGGAATTCCATCTGGAAGCAGACCAGGTATCCTGAGTGTAGGCCATGCCAGAGGGCCAAGAACAGCAATGAGAGACCCTGGGATAATTCTTTATTTCCAAGGAACTTGAGCCGTTTGAAGAAGTAACTAGAGAAAAGGGTGGGCAAGGATGAGCCTTAGATGAACTATTCTCATTCCCACCATCCTGCTTCTGGGTTCTTGGTTCCCTGATGAGTAACTTGACTCCCACTTGTGGCCATAGGGGGTTGAGGTGCGGGAGACAGTGCTAACTGGATATCTTTAGAGATGGAAGGTGATGGCTGTTTAGAGTCAGAAAACAAGACTCCAGGTTAACAACTGAATGAATGCCTACTAAGTGCTTGACAGTGAAAGGGCAGTGGGAAAAGAGATCAATCTCAAACTGCTACACTCTAGTGAGGACAATTGAAGAAATAAACAGGGCAATGGGTAACAAATACAGTGGCAGAACTGGGATTAAGCTAGGGCTTGAGGCCCTTTTATGGAATGTTTTTAGGGAGATGAAGCAAATAAAATAAAGGCATGATGTCCATCTACAACTAAAAAAAGAAAAAAATGGACAGTCTACCTAAGTGGGAAAGATGGACAGAGGAGGCATCATATATCTCTGCCTTCCAGTGCGGGAAAGCAGCAGAAGGAAGGAGTTCAGGTCTAGGGCTCTTCTCCAATTGCTTACCGGGCTACCCAGGCATTGGTGTTGATGTTGAAAGAGGCGATGGTGCCAGTGAAGCGGGGATTTGTCTCGAAGAGCCACACCTTCATGTTAGCACAGGCATCCCACTTTGCTTTTCCATTTTCTTCAAAGCCATTGAAGCCCAGCCCGGTCAAAATGCATACTCCTTCCTGAGGGGAGGCACAGCTCAAGATTCTCTCCACTCCTGCCCTACCAGCCCCCACAGCTTGTCTAAATATGACCCTTTTTCATCTTTCCTACTTACTGTGACCAGCCAACAGGTGACGTATTTGTAAAGCACAAACTTGCCCCAGACCAGCATGTACATGCAGCGGAACCAGAAAGGGTGGTTCTTGAGGAAAGAGAACACATGTGTTAGAGATAGTACATGGGCATGTTCCCCTTAGTGCTCTTCCTTTTCCAATCTGTATCTGGTTACTTCATACCTGTCAAAATCTGTCAGATGGGCCTGGACAGTCTGGCCTAACTGCCTTTATAACAGGATAGAGGGAATAGGCAGGAGAGTCCAGCAAACATCTCTCATCTTCCCTGAGGAGTCCCAGAAAACAGCTCTGTCCCTAACTCTTCTACTGGCTGCCTGCCTTCACAAGGTACTGTCTGAAACAATAAGTACTAAGGGACCTTACATATCCACATTTCATGTTAGTTTAAGGAGAAACCTACCCAGAATGGATATGAAACTGCTACAAGCCTTTCAACTGGGCAGGAACAAAGCCAGCATTCCCCTCTCCCTTGGTTTCTGAATTCCCTAGAAGGGCCCAAGTCTGTCAGTCAAGAGAAGAAAATAGGCTGGAGGATCAGCAGCTGCTGCACTCCAGGGAGGAACTTGGACATAACAGAGCAAGCTAAGAGCCACTTTAGGGGGAGGAAAGGGGTGCTAAAGTGCACCTGGCACAGCCATGTGCCCACGAAGGTCATTCAGCGAAGGCTGATGAACATGTCCTGGCCCGGCTGGTACTGACACCAATTCTCACAGATCTAGAGCAAAATCAATATGCATTTTGTAGATGGCATCACCTACTTCTTTGCTATCTACAGGGGTCCTTGCCTGTCCACTTTCTATCTGGGAGGCAGTGGCAGTGCTGCTGTGTTAACAACCACTCACTTCATAGTCTTCAGTGAGGAGATAGTCTTCTGTGATGTGGGGACTGAGCAGGGTGTAGCCGACCAGGTAGACAAGACCAAGACTCAGGCGCTTGAGAGCAGGTATGGTGCTGGAAAGGAATGAGCTGGGTCACAGAGGGCACAGTCAAAGCCCTTCACCCTGTGACCCTCAGTTACTCAGAAGAGTGTTTCAGGGTAAAAATGACACGAGGAGCTCTGCTTCCAAAGTTGGTACTGTTTCCGGGAAAGAGATCTCCCCCGAGTGGTTGGTTATGAGGAATGGTACCCACAAACCTGTAAGTCACAGGATGGTAAGGGCAGTGGGGGAGCAGTGTGGGTAAGTCTTGTAGTGTTTAACCCTTCAGGGATGCTATTGAGCTCAGGTTCTTACCAGGGTTCTCAATGTACACTGGGACTGACAATCTCATGTAGAGAATAATAATCACCAACAAATTCCAACTTGTTCCTTCCTATTTTGGTTGAACTGATACTGAAACTCATGTTAGACAAGTTCTCAGTGAAGGAATTCTGGTGACTTTTAAATTTTCTTCTGATATATATTCATATATACTTTTATGTATTTAACATTCTCTTGTCTTTTTTCCCTTTAAATGAGAAAACAGGCTTTAAAGGCAGGAATGTGACTGGTTCAGACAAAATCCTGTGGCATAAAAATGAATGTTTATGTCTGTGCTACAAGTTCAGCATGGATGGCTAGAAGTAACCTGGGTAGAAAAGTGCCCACTAGGACAATGGGCAGGTAGAGTGCCTGGTGTGAAAGTCCAGGTCTGTGTGACATGGCTCTGTGTGCTAGGACAGGCTGGAGAATGCAGCTGGGGCTGGCCTTCAGGAAAGTCATTTCAGAAGTGACTGTTGGGTGAGACACCTACACAGAAGTCTTGACCAGGAGGGGCAGTTACCTGTTTGGCATCTTCCCTGGTATGTCAGTCAGCTGCCCCTGCACCAGCTTCATGTAGTGGTTCATTGAGAACTGGGGCCCTACCAAGAAGGCCCCATAGAAGTAGGAGAAACCAGCAACTTCCAGCAGGGAGGGGACACCCCGTATGGCATATTTCTGTTGCTCAGAGGACAAGGAATTCTATGCCGAGAAGAGAATGCATGGTTCAGGATAGCCTCGAATCTCCCCACAAGAGCCAGTTTGAGTGTCCCCCACCCCTATGCCCCACTATCTGGGGTTCTTCAGCTTGCCTTCTCCTTGGGGGATGGAAAAGAGTTGCTTCATGTGGAAATGAATATGTGTGGGGTAGCTCAGCAACTGTTGGCTGTTGCTGCTTTGACAAATGCCTTGTTGGCACTGATCTCTGGACTTTGTGCAGGAGCTGGATCCTGAGCAAGTTAGAGTTGTTGATTCTTGCTCAGAGCTATCTGAAATGGATATCACACAGGCTGGGGAATGAGGGAGAGGCTCTGCCCCTGGTATTTGGGTCCAGTCTTTTGGTAACAATAGCCTTCCTCCTTCCCTCTGGTTAAATGCTTAACCTCTCTGCAGAGGAATTGGTACTTACCTGATTTCTCCCTCCGTCAAAGTAGTCAACAGCCAAACCTGAGCAGAGAGAGAAGGGGTGGGTAGAGTAGAGGGAGAGGACAATGTGAGGATGTGGCCTGTGGACTGAGTGCAGCCAGGAGTGTAATGGGAAAGTACCAGTAAGGTTTTGGTCTGAGGGGGGTAGGGCCCAGCTGGAAGGAGGAAGGCAATGCTCAACCACTTACCAATCAGCTTCAAAGTCAGGACACAATGTGGCATTGTCCACTTGATGTCATAGTTGCCTGTGGCTGTGTAATAATATCCAGCAAGAAGGTAGGCCTAGGAGAGAACCAAGTATTTATTCTACCATCACTACTATGTTTTCCTTTACTTTCTCCTCATTCTGGAATCCCTCATTAGAAGCTTTAAGGAGTTTTTTACAAATGGAGACACTGAGCCTATAATGGGAAGAGATGTGCTCAAGGATTATTAGCAAAATAAGGGCTAAACTGAGACAAGAACTGAGATGCTTAGCTTCCTTAGCTCATTCTAAATTGGTGTTCTTCCTTGCCTTTAGAAAACTTCCCTCATAGACTGCCAGGCTAATCCTGATGAGAACCAATGAAATTCAATTCCATAGTCTTGTGCAAAGGATTAGCTGGTGCACCTTCTTTGAGGCACGGCAGGAGTTAGCATTATGATCTGCATATGAAACACCTGGGCCCAGTCATAGCATGACCAAAAGTCAGACTGCTGAGTATTGGAAGGAGGGGTTGGAAATGAGATCTCTTAATCGACTGCCTTTTCTACACCATAGTCTCCTACCTCCCTTCTGCCTCAGTTGTGACCTGAGATGCTAAGAGAAAGATGCTTACCATTTGCAAGCAAAAGGTAGTGAGGACAGCAGTCCTGGTGCGGCCCATAAGTCGAAGGATGAGGAACTGAAGTATAACACATAGCAAAGAGTGGTAGAACTGGTATCCTAGATGTAGAGAACAGAATTTTAGCTTGGTTTTTTATATTTAAACTCTTCTGAGGATTTTCAACCACAAAAAGATATCAAAAGAAAACACTGTGGTATTAGGAATATTATTATTATTTTTTTTTGTAGTTGTGGATGGACAGCATGCCTTTGTTTTGTTTCATCTTTATGTGGTGCTCAGGATCAAGCCCAGTGCCTCACATATGCTAGGCAAGTGCTCCGCCACTGAGCTATATCCCCAGGGCTGAATTTTTTTTTTTTTTTTAAAGAATAATCTTGGGGCTGGGGATGTGGCTCAAGCGGTAGCGCGCTCGCATGGCATGCGTGCGGCCCGGGTTCGATCCTCAGCATCACATACAAACAAAGATGTTGTGTCCGCCGATAACTAAAAAATAAATATTAAAATTAAAATTCTCTCTCTCTCTAAAAAAAAAAAAAAAAAAAAGAATAATCTGTGGTTTTGGTGGAAGGGGATGAAAATTAGTTGTGTAAACATTGGGATTATCAAGGTGTTTATGGTATTTCTGTATGTTTGAATGGAGGGATCATTCTGAGGGGGTATGCTTGGATCTGTCACTCAGTTATAGCCATAGCAGAGAAACTGATACTTCTCTGTTGATAGGGTCAGGCAAGCTACCATCAAAATGCTTGTACTTATTATTTAAATTTATTTCTACAGTGCCGGAGAATGAACCAGGAACTTGTGCATGCTAAGCAAGTGCTCTACTGCTGAGGTACATTCCTAGCCCTAAATTTATATATTTATTTTTTTGTGGTACTAGGGATTGAACCCAGGGGAGCTCTGGCACTAAGAAATATTGCCAGCCCTTTTTATCTTTTTTATTTTGAGATGGGGTCTCACTAAGTTGCTTATGGTTTTGTTAAATTGCTGAGGCTAGCTTCCAACTTGCTATCTTCCTGCCTCAGCCTCCCAAGTATCTGGAATTACAGGTGTGTTCCAAACCTGTCTCTGAATTTATTTTTTAAATCAATATAGAAAAATGTAAATATTTTACATGCTTCTGGGATACCATGTGACATTTTCATACATGTATAATTTTTAATTGCTTTGCTTAACACATTCTTTTTCTTTTTTTTAATATTTATTTTTAGTTTTAAGTGGATACATATCTTTATTTTACATTTATGTGGTGCTGAGGATTGAACTCAGTGCCTCAAGCATGCTAGGCAAGCATTCTACTCCACTGAGCCACAACCTCAGCCCCAACACATTATTTTTCAAGATGTTTTTACCTGACAGAGGAATGTACATAAAAAGGGGAAAAAAGGAAAAGTTAAGCTGAGCTCTTTCCATATAACCCTCTCTTTGCAAGCAGAGCATTAATTAAAACTTCCCAAACCATCAAATTCTCTCAAGGAAATTTTGTTCAAGTCTGTTCCTTCCCAGCATCCTTCTAATCACAGGGTCACTGCTAACTTGGTTTACTTACCAAAGTTAAAATAAGCAATTGAGAGGCCTGTAAAGGCATGGAAGAGATGAATGAGGTAGCTGTCCTTGAAGAAAAGGTAATGTCGATAAAACAAAGCCAAGGGGTACCCTAGATGGGGAGAAAGATAACAAGGTTACTCATGCGTGGTGCCATTTATCAGCTTGAAGCTCAGTCCAGAACAGAGAAAACAAGAACAAAAACAAAACCCCACATATATTATATGGATTCAACAGAGAGGAGGATAACAGTACCTTAATGATTCCAAAGTTGTTTTGTAAATAAAATTTAGAAGTAAACATACTGATTTTTTTATCGAGGTAATACAGATTTGGATCCTAGGACTAGGTTTTATTTATAACCTATTATTATTGCTGGGAATTTTCTCTAAATTGAATTTTTTTTTTGTATATGTGTGCTTGGATCAAACCCAGAGCTTTGCACATGACAAGCAAGTGCTCTAGCACTTTTTATTTTTATTTATCTTTTAATATTCTTTTTAAACAAACAGCACCAGGAATAGGGGACCAGAAGAAGGGGAGGAGGGGGAGTGAGGCTCCAGCCCTATAATCCATCCCCACCCACCCATCCCCTTTATATTTTATAATGTATTTACAAGCCCCAGAGGGTGGCGTGGGGGGAAGGGGAACTCCCTCAACAGGGTGGAGGCAATTCAGGATCCTTGTCCCTTTGGAACCAAGGCTCTTCTGCTCTTCTGGAAGGCCCTTCTAAGGAAGGTGGCCCTGTCTGTTCCCAAGGTTTTGACATCCAGTACCGAGGCTTGAGGGTAAAGGTCAAAGTGCTGGGTGTGGAATACTCCACTATAGGTGGAAGGGATGGCCTTGAGATAGGAATTGAGACCAGATAAGGACCTTCCAGGTGGGGAAGTGCAAGACAACCCAGATCCTCCAAGGCTGCTGCTTAGCTTCTAGTAATTCTGGAAAGGCTTTAGTTCTACTGGGTGCAGCTCTGCTTGCCCCAAGCTAGTAGGGAAGGGTCTAGCAGGTGGAGGCCACACAGCCAGGCTGGGAGGTTGCAGAATAGTGCCCAGAAGTAACAGGGAAAGGGGGTAGAGATGGGGCAGGAGATGGTGCTGGTGGCAGGGGGCCAAAATTCACCACAAGCAGCTATGAATCTATAATAGGTAAAAGCATCTGCTATGCAGGGGCCCCTGAGGAAGCCACTTTGGCCACCAGGCTACAGAGGAGCAGAGTAAAAATCTGAAGGGGATGGCAGATCCTGGCATACCTGAAGCAAAGGTGGGTCAGGTAAAGGGTTGGGGCAGAAAGCTGGAGAGTAGAGGAAAAGAAGCCATCAACTTCTCCAGTTCTGTTACTTGCAGTGTTGAAATCCAGAATCTGGCCCCTTGAGTGCTTGCTACTCCAGAGAGCAGTACTTGAGGGAAGGACTGGGGTTCTGTAAGGGTGTCCCAGAGCGGAAGCCTCCTTTTTGGGATGTAATTTAGAGTCCATGGCCCCCTCCAGAGACCTGGGAACTGGGAGGCACGGGGCTGCCATAGAAGACATGAGAATATAGGTGCTAGCCTAAGAAATGGCCACAGTGTCCAGAACCCAGGCTCTGGGATTGTGGTTCAGCTGAGGCAGAAGCACTGGGGAGAAGCTCCTGATTTTGGGATATCAGAATGGCCACAGTGACTGATGCTGTTAGTTCCTTCTCTGATTTTAAACTGTCTCCTACCACTATGTGTTGGTCTGGGTCCTTGTCACGAGAGCCAAACTAGATTGCAGGGCCAGGTTGATGGGATGGCTAGAGGCCAAGCTCTGACCCTCAGTCCATGTGCTGCAATTGTTCTGTGCCTATGGGGCTACATGGTAGAGGCTGCTCCAGGGGCAGTTCCTTGGTGTCCCCATCATGGGGAGCAGGTGGCCATCTCCTAGGGGGTTCAGAGCCAGGTGGACCCTCATCAGAAATAGCATTCAGGGATGAAGGGGCCTCTGGTCTGCTTGGAGGACTCAACTCCCTTGAGTTCTCTATCAGGGCAACTTTGCTGACTGCAGAGACTTGATGACACCTGAGAATCCCCACCAGTCTACCCCATGTCAGACTGACTCATCTCTGTACCAGGCATATCCTCAAATGGACTCAGGAGCTCCATCCAGGGCTCCATGGAGCTGGGTTGGTGCCTCTCTTGGCTGGTGGCAGTATGTAAACTATCCTAGATGTGAGGGGTCAGGGCCTCTGTGCCTACATCTTCGGATTCTCCCTGAGGGCCAAGGACCTCAGGCTTTCAGGCAGGATTCCAGAGCTATGAGAAACTGGCAAAGATTCCTCCAGTAGCAGCTCCAGTTTTCCTGGAGGTGACTCCTGCTGTTTGGTGGGGGAAGGGATTAACCCCGGCACAGTCCCAATCCCCAGACTTTAAAAATTTTATTTTAGATAGGGTCTCACTAAATTGCCCAAGATGGCCTTAAACTTGGAATTTTTTTGCTTCAGCCTCCCAAGTAGCTGAGATTATAGGTGTGTGCCACTGCACCTAGCTCTTTATTCAATTTTCAATGATATGAATGATATAAAGGCCAGGCATGGGGACTGGGGTTGTGGCTTAGCGGTGGAGTGCTCGCCTAGCGTGTGCAAGGCCCTGGGTTTGATCCTCAGTACCACATAAAAAAAATAAAACGAAGGGCAATGTGTCTACCTAACCACTAAAAAAAAAAAAAAAGAGATACAAGGAATCAATGCTCACCTATGCCCTAGAAATATTATTTTACACTTTGTGATCTGTCCTGTTAGCATGTTATCAGATTATCAAGAGGGTAAACATAAATTGATACTGGGCTACAATCTGGGATAGCACCTGTAGACAGATGTTCCTCACATTCTACAATCTGGGCACCAACCAAGTTATAACTCTGCTTAGGTATACTAGAAAAATGTCTTTGAAAGCTGTGATTCATAGTACAGTTCAAGGGCCACGTGCAAACTACAGGGCATCTCCTGATGGGCCATGTACTGATTATTCAGGGCCAGAGGTTGCTTACTAAATTAAAAAGCATCGATACATTTGGGATTCTTAAACTAAAATAAAGTGTATCTTGTGGTTTTACTGCAGATTCACCTTCAATGTTCTATGAAAAAGTCTGGCTGACATGCTTGCCAACATTCCTACTGCTCTAGTGCATTTTGAAGAACCAGAATCTCCCTACTGTTTTCTGGAAGGACACCTTACCTTTCCTGTCACTGCATAATTAGTATTCTTGAGTTGGTTGTGGTTCACAATTGCTGCAATTCTTGCTTTTAAATTATAAACTGCAATTTGTTTATCAACAGCAATACAGTTTGTTTTGAGTTTGGTTAACTCTGCAGTGTTTAGAAGTGTCATACAGAAAGAAAGTGCTCATTTATGTGTAAACAGTTAAGTAAATGGATAATAATGTTATATTTTGGCTTATATCCTTTTAGTCTTGTTTTAAAAATATATTTTAGTGTTGACAGACCTTTACTTTATTCATTTATTTATATGCGGTGCTAAGAATTGAACCCAGTGCTTCACACATGTGAGGCAAGCACTCTACCACTGAGCCACAACCCCAGCCCTAATCTTTTTCCACTGTACTTTTTTAAAACTTATGAGCTTGTACACATATTTTTTTCACATAACAGTATATATTTTTAAAATATTTTTTAGTTTTAGGTGGACAAAATACCTTTATTTTACATTTATGTGATGCTGAGGATCAAACCCAGTGCCTCGTGCATGCTAGGTGAGCACTTTACCACTGAGCCATAACCTCAGCCCCCACATAACAGTATATTACCATTTGATCTTGGTGCCAGAATTTACTGGTGTTCTCTTCTGCTCCCATAATAGGCTAGGTCCTTTATCAAGTTTATAGCTTCATACAAATATAGTAGGCCCTTGAACATTGGGGGGATTGGGGGACTCAACACCCCACCTCCCAGAAGAAAATGTGCATAAGCCTTTTTTTCTTTCCAGTGCTAGGACCTTAAGGATGATAGACACTAGGCCACATCCCTATCCCCCTGCATATAATTTTTGACTCTTCTCAAAACTTAACTACTAGCAGCCTGCTATTGACTAAAAGCCTTTTCAGTAACATCAATATTCAACACATATTTTGTACATTATATGTATTATATATTTTTGTTTTTTTGCAATACTAGGGATGGAACCCAGACATTACTCTACTACTGAATACACCCCCAGCTTTTTTAATTTTTATTTTTATTTTGATATAAGGTCTCCCTAATTTGTCCAGACTAGCCTCAAAAATTTTTCCTTTTTTTTGGTACTAGGGATAGAACCCTGGGGCACTCAACCACGGAGCCACATCCCCAGCCCTATTTTCTATTTTATTTAGAGACAGGGTCTCACTGAGTTGCTTAGGGCTTTGCTAAGTTGCTGAGGCTGGCTTTGGCCTTGCAATCCTCCTGTCTCAATTTCCCAAGCTGCTGGAATTATAGGTGGGCACCACTGTGCCTTGCTGGCCTCAAACTTTTGATTCTCTGGCCTCAGCCTCCTGAGTAGTTGGGATTATAGGTATGCACCATCATACTCGGCCACTAAAATCTCTAATTATATGGAATGCTTGAAAACTAAAAGATGCAATCATGTTACTCTGTCCCGTTGAGCTGAATATGATTTAACATTTTCTTGTAGATCTGGGTCATTTCTATTCCCAAGTAGAGTCACCATGGCTTTTTAACCTTTGAGGTTGTAGGAATCTGTTTACTCTAATTCTACACCATCCTGGATTCTGAGTTCATGCATTCATTTCTTACAGCTTTTCTGTCCCTTTCCTTGCTATTGTGGGTTCAATAAGTCACTTCTTGAACTTTCAGTGAGTCTGCAAGAATAGTTCCCTTTTTTTGTTGCTGGGAATTGAACCCAGGGCCTTGTATGCCAGGCAAGTGCTTCTACCACTGAGCTACTTCCTCTGCCCCTCCTTTTCCTTTCTTTCTTTCTTTTTTTGGTACTGTGAATTGAACCCAGGGATGCTTAACAACTGAGCCACATACCCAACCCTTTTTACATTTTATTGTGAGATAGGGTTGAAATTGCTTAGGGCCTCACTAAATTGCTGAGGCTGGCTTTGAATCTGCAGTCCTCCTGGCTCAGCGTCCTAAGCCAC